GAGACGAGAGAGATTGGTGGAAGGAGCGAAAGCGCAGCGCCTGCTGAAGCCGCGAGAGGGAGAGACAGGGCCGGGAGAGTCATCGTCGAGTCGACATCGCCGAGAGAGGAGGTGCAGGCCACAGCAGAAGAGCACGTAGCACCTAGGCCGCGGAGCACGCTTAGACGACTTGAACGAACCGCGCGCGCCGACGTCGACCGAGAGCAGTATAGAACGTTTTGCTCATCTCTCTTGCTCTCATTCTCTCTCCCCACCCCTTTTCTCTCGTCAAGTATCGCGCGCGCGAGACATACCGTCGACGGTCGGTGCGCCGTGACAGCTCCCGCGCGCGGTTTCTCCGTGCGAGTTCGATCGTGGTTGTCGTCGCCGTCGTCGTCCTCGTCGTCATTGTCATTGTTAAAAGCGGAACCGCGCGCGCGAAAACCGAGTGCCGAGAATTTAGACGCGGACTGACCAAGCTTTCGGGGAGGCCGGCGTCCCCGGCGACGAGCCGCTCGCGTGTGGCATCATCGACGTCGTCGGCGAGTCGATCCATCGTCGATCGGTCAGCAGCAGCAGCAGCAACAGTGGGCACCATGGCGGACGATCAGGACACGTGCGAGGACTCCCTCGGAACCGGCGACACCGCCAACTTCGCCAACAAGCTGCGGGGCCGGAAGGGCGCCTTGAAGAAGAAAAATGTCTACATGGTCAAGAACCACAGCTTTATGCCAAGGTTCTTCAAACAGCCGACCTTCTGTAGCCACTGCAAGGACTTCATATGGTGAGTAGTTACGATACATTGTAAATTCTTTGTAATCGTCGTCGTGCGCGACACGCCAACTCGCATGCTTCCTGTTGCTCAAGACTGGTTGCATTGGAATGCATATTAGAAATTAGCATATCGAGTTTTTTTTCCATTACATCTACAATATAACGACGTCTGACAAATCGGTAATCGGAATTAATTAACTTTCAAGAAATCGAGAAACATTCGATTATTTTTAAAATAATGAGATACATAACTCTGCGGAAAAGAGTAAGAGAGAAAAAAAAACATTTGTTTTGAAGGACACGGTATTTTGATACATGGTATTTTAATACAATGTATCAAAGTACCATGTAACTATGTTCGCACGTTACCATTTGTATTTTCGGCTTTGACTCTGCTACAGTCGTTACCATCATTAGCCTTTTATTCGAGCGTATTTTCGGAAAACACGGAGGCGAACTATGCGTTGGCATGCTTTTACTCTCTACGTAAATGTATCTATGCGTTGGATGCGTTCCGGTAACGATCGAGTTTGCATCCCCGGGAGAAGAGCAGGTGAACGCCTCGGGGAGAAGCTCATCACGGGATAGCTTGCATCGACAGGTCTGCTCGATTGACAAAAAATGTTCATAAATTCTACAATTTTGACAAACGTCGATTCATAAATTTTAACATGTTCTTGTTTTTGCCATTTGAATTTACAGATTAAATCTGTCACTCAAAATTTAGTGCATTTTTTTTATATAAAAACTGTAGCAGTTACAAACTTTTTTTTTTTTTTTAAATAAGAGAATATTTTTCACAAATTTTGTGAAAAGTGAAAAAAAAGAGTATTTTTTAAGTAAATCGCGACATACTCATCTTTCTTTTAATGATATTCTTATCTATAACACATACAGAAAAAATTTAGTTAATTATTTTTGTAGGTATGATAACTGTAGTTAACATTTTATTGCTTTATTTTGATGTTTGTAATTGACAATCAAGAAATCGATGTATTAGCCACGTTAATTTTGCTTCATTAATTTACTTTTGCAGCTTTTTCAATCGTAGAAAGTTTTAAATCGTAAGTTTTTATTTGCAATATTATACATAACGAGATTATACATAACGAGAGATTAATAAACTCGTCAGTAGTGACATATGGAACAACACGCTGTTTCAAAATTAGTATTTAATTAACATTGATGCAATCAGTCAATAATTTATGAGTATTATTTGATGTCGTTGTTTTCTCTGATATTTTTACATCGTGTATGTTTTCATTCAATATTTTTTCGCTTGTCGAGATCGCGTGAGGAAATTTTCAGTGCCACGAAATCGCACGATTCATGATTGAGAAAAAAAAAACGCAAGAGAATTGTCGTCACTATCCATTCCATCGTTAATCCGCTTTTCTGCATGCCATCCGCTTCTAGCCATCTTCGATAGTACATTGATAATGTAGTTTGGAGTTAATTATAAGTAAAAGATCCTGAATAATTTCCGAACAGAATGCGGTCTTTTCCAGTCAATCTTTCAGTCCATTTTTCAATCTAATGAAATTAATGCAGAATATTGTTTTTTAAATTGCGCTCTTTTAACATAGTTATGTGTCTATTGTCCATTTTCATCATTATTATGTGTATATTGTCTATTTAAAAACATTTAAAACAATTTAAAAATGTAAAAGATAAATTTTCTGCTGTGAACTTTATAAAGAAAATAATTCTTGAAAATTTTATTACAAACGGTATTAATTGATTAAACGATTTGTCATGTCTTGTTTATCCAAAGCTTCCTTAATTTTCTTCTCTAACGGACTAATGACCGGTGTTGTAATCATCTTTCCTCGATTCACGATTCACGATTTCACGATGATACCAGACGCCGTACGTCTTCCTCTGCACGCTACGGTGAACAGATACATAAATCCAGTCAATAATGCTCTCGGGCCGGCCGGTCGGGCAATAGTTAAACGGTCCGGCCTTGACGCACTCGCGCTGTTCTTCTACCTATCCGAATTAGAAACCTCTGTACTATGATACGAGAAGAGACAACGCCGTTGGCAGGCGTACGAATATCTTTTTCAAATGTTGCGTGTATGTATACTTGCAAATTGTGGTGTGAACGCGCGTGCGACCTCCCATGGAGTGCGCTTCTTCTCTTCATTATTTTCTTCAGAGGAATTCTCGAATTACAATTCTTCTTTGTATCAATGACAATGTTCAGAATACGTTGGTGACAAGTACAATAGAACAGGTATAATTTATATCGGTAGTCGAGTGATGTAAATCTATCTTTACGGTTTTCGGAAGTGGAACATCGTCAGCTCAATGGACGTCGTTTGGTTGGTCATAATCATAAATTTTGTAGTTATTAAAAGAGAACTTATTCACACCCTTAATTTTGGTACAAAATACATCAGGATCGTATTTAATTCTAATATTAGATTCTTATTCGATTATAAAATGCCTCTCGTGTTTTATATTAAATTTCTCTGCATGCGTCGAAGAAAGATAAAATATTCAAATAGCGTGAAGTAAATCTTTCGCGCAAAATGTCAGAATTATAATACGTCTATCTGAACAGTAATTCGAAATTTCATTGACATTGTTACAATTGGTTTCAGAACTCTCGTATTTAAAAATACCTTTGAAGGCATAGAAAAAGGAACGTTTAACGTCTGTACACAATCCCCACCCTTTGGTTTCCAAACTACAAGATAACATTGGTTGTTTTCGTTTCAAGATATTGATGCGATAAATTACGCATTGACATCTACGACATCGGAATAGATAGAAGGTCCATTTGGACACTCGATATCATATCAATATTTGTAACGACAGCGATCAGATTCTCTGATTTGTGGGTAGGAAAATTAATGGCCGAGTATTTTTACTGCACTCAACTTTTTATTCCTATCATTTTATACATTTAAATATATTCATGGATAAATTCACTAAATTTTTAAACTATATAAAACATTGATTTTTCTCTATAACAATTCCTTGCTCTTAGTGAATTTAACATTGCCAGAGTCAAAATATTTTTAATTTTATCATTCATAAAAAATTGTCAATTATATAATTTAAAAGAGCTGATCGATTATTTTATTACTTATTAATTTAAATCAGTAGTTACATGTTTGTTGAATTCGTGAAATAATATCTTTCTTTGTCTCGTTGTAAAATAAAAAACGGAGGGGCTCACGTCTAAAACGGAGCTATTATCGATCTGGTCTCTCCGTTTCGCTTGTCAATCGCACGTGGAGATACGTTAGGAAAAAATTCGCAACGACATTGCGTCCAGTATGATTTGCAATTGTTGACGCCCGTGTATACATTCGTGATCAACAACTCTGACGACCGATGACGCGCGTCGTCGCATTTGTTGAACGACATTCCGCGATTACCAAGCGCGTGCACGATGATGGCGAAATGCATTTTGCGACGATGCGGTATCCCGGGTCGCCCTCATCGTATGCTTGCACCCCTGCGTCGTGCTCTTCGACCAGTCTGCACTTTCGCCCATGCTGGGCGTTTCGCATGTCCATAGGTCAGACACGCGCTATTGACACGTTAAAATTGAAATATAATTTAAAAGTGAAATAAAGTATTTGCACGCGCTTATCTTTTCTAGAATAACTTTACAGAAAAAAAATAGAAAAATGTGCAAAGTGTTTTCGTCAGAGAGAATGCACCGTTTTCAATTGTATTGGTGAATAAAACGCACTTTGTACAAGCAACATTTTACTTTTCGTGCAAATTATTTCAAAAAGGATAGGATGTACAAATACCTTTTTTTTTACCCACTCTACGTGAACATGGAAGATTAAATATAGGGTCTGTCAGAATCCGCAAACCGTAATTTTTCTTTTTCCACTTTTATGGATGTCTGTCCCTTCTGGGACACAACACCTCCCTTTTGCTCACTCTGTTTTCCAATATTCTATTTCAATTCTCTCGGAAATTTAAAAAAATTGCTGTAGGCATTTTATATCATCATATATAAACTATTAAAATTCTCTCAGTTTTTGTTATTGATAATGGAACGTTAACGAATCGTGATTTTCATGATGCAATTAGAAACTTTTTTATATTATTATAAAAGATCTTATTTTTATATTACTCTACACTTTTACATTTGCTATTTCTTTCCCTCACCGACATAAAACGAATAATTCTAATTAGAAATTTTATAACGAAGATAGTAACGAAGTTCGCGATATCGTGTGCACGGATCAGAGCTACGTGGCAAGAATTAATTCTTTGTCGGTGTTGCGCAACGTTTCGCTAACGAAGCTACGCGTATTGGCAAGAAGAAGCGGACTATTCGAGGAAGATGATTCGCGGACGCGCAAGTTAATGCGTTACGTAAAAAAGGGAACGGCGTTAACAGAACCGGTCGGTAGATTTATGCCGGCGACCTTACGTTCGAATTTGGTATCTTGGTATGGGTCTCGTGAATTTTATTATCCTGATATCAAATCGAAAGAAACGCAATGTTAGGCTACGTAAAAATAAGCCAAAGATGTTCTATTATTCGGAAAGAAATTAATATATACCATATATGTATAACTTTTGTGCTGCTAAAAGAAACAAATTTTTTATATTATCGTCCTGTTGATATTAAGTCATATGGTAAATTTTGACACAGTATTTGTTATTTGCACTTAAACGTTTGTTGTTTAAATATCAAATTTTATTTTGCTTATTTTTGAATACCATTTTATTTAAGTTATAATAGTTTTTTTTTTCATTTATCACAGTTTTGGCGATAACTTTTTCAATTTTTTGCTTTTGCACTATAAAACGATATCGGTTGTTTTCACTTACGTGTATCGATCTAATCTTACGTATGTACGTATTGAGCTTCCGCATATACATACGCGCAGCGTCGAATAAGATTTATTTCACGGGTTTCCTGCTTTTACGTGTGGTTCACGTATGTCAGCGTGTCACGACGGTCGCTTTTCAGTCCGTAAATCGTTATCGAGCCATGCGGTTTTCTCCGGTCACTTTTATCGAGAA